GGTGCTGCTGGAGCGGGTGCACCTGCTGGGGGTACTGGTGCTGTCCCTGCTGTGTCTGGCGTCGCCGCGCGGCCTCGACCGTACTTCGTTCCACTCCTGCAGCAGGTTCTTGGTCTTCCACCTTCTACTGGTCCTCCTCCTCCCTTAGAGTGTGCACAGCCTGTCCCGTCACAGTTACAGTTGCAGCCTACCTCCCCCTTGCCTGCTCCTTCTCCCTACACTGGTCCTAATGGAGGTCTTGCTGAGCGTCGTGAGCCTGCGTCTCGCCCTACGTCGCCTGTCCGTGCTGCTCGCGCTAGTGGTCGTGGTTCGCGTGAGCGTCCTCCTCCTGTCCCTGGCACGCACCGGATGGCTCTGCGTCTGTCCACTGCTCCTCTGCATGCCCCATTGTCTTCTCCTCCTGTGTCCTCTCTTCCTGCTCTTGCCGACCCGGAGTCGGACTCTCTTCGTGCTGCCAGTCCTACTGTCACGCGTCTCCTTGCTACTGTCGTCACTGACCCTTCTTTCGAGTCTACTGCTGCGTCTGCCCTCGTTACTGAGCTCGTCGACTCTGCTGCTCGCTGTCGCCTAGACTACGCTGCTAGTCTTGTTGCTGAGTCTGAGTCAGTCTGTCCTTCGTCCGTCGGGGGTGAGTGTGCCCTTGGCACGGACGTCCTTGAGGACAGACAGGAGGAGTTCCAGTGTCTGGCAGCTGCTTCACCTCATCTCGTGTCCGTACTGCTTACCCCTGAGGGAGACCCGGATGCACTAGACATCCCGACTCCGCGCTCCTACGCGGAGGCGATAGAGGGTCCCTACTCCTCTCAGTGGCAGGCAGCTATGGACACAGAGACGGCTTCTTGGAAGTCCACAGGCACCTACGTTGACGAGGTTCCCTTGCCTGGGGCGAACATCGTCAGTGGCATGTGGATCTTCAGAGTGAAGCGGCCGCCGGGTTCTCCGCCTGTCTTCAAGGCACGTTACGTGGCTCGTGGCTTCAGTCAGCGGCAGGGAGTTGACTACTTTCAGACCTTCTCTCCCACCCCGAAGATGACCACTCTTCAGGTACTGCTGCACGTTGCTGCTCACCGTGACTACGAGCTGCACTCTCTCGACTTTAGCACAGCTTTCTTGCAGGGCAGTCTGCACGAGGAGATCTGGCTGCGCCGCTCACCTGGCTTCACTGGGTCGTTCCCTCCTGGTAATCAGTGGAGCCTCCGACGTCCAGTTTACGGTCTCCGAGAGGCGCCACGTGAGTGGCACGACACACTGAGGACTACACTTGCGGCTCTTGGGTTTGCTCCTTCTACTACCGACCCGTCGCTGTTTCTACGCACCGACACCTCTCTGCCGCCGTTCTACATCCTCGTGTCTTTGCCACTGCTGACACAGCTGGACTCGCCTACGTGAGGTCCGAGCTGCAGAACAGACACACTTGCACAGACCTGGGTGAACTGCGCAGCTACCTTGGCTTGCAAATCACCCGGGACAAAGCACGCCGCACCATTACCCTGACTCAGTCACACATGGTGCAGCAGGTCCTTCAGCGCTTCGGCTTCACGTACTCCTCGCCTCAGGCCACTCCTCTGCCTACTCGCCACTCGCTCTCAGCTCTGCCTTCGGATGAGTCCGTAGAGTCGAGTGGCCCGTACCCAGAGCTTGTTGGCTGCCTCATGTACCGGATGACCTGCACACGACCTGACCTTGCATACCCTCTTAGCATTCTCGCACGCTATGTTGCTCCTGGGAGACACCGTTCAGAGCACATGGCTGCAGCGAAGAGGGTGTTGCGCTACTTGTGCAGTACGTCGGGCATGGGGCTAGTGCTTGGAGGGCGCAGTCCAGTGGTCCTCACTGGGCATGCAGACGCTTCTTGGGCTGACGACCAGGCTACGCAACGGTCGTCACAGGGTTACACCTTTAGCCTTGGTTCCGGCTCTGTCTCGTGGCGGGCTACTCGCTCGTCTTCTGTTCTCGGCTCCAGTTGTGAGGCTGAGATCTACGCTGGGGCCATGGCTGCACAGGAGCTTCGCTGGCTCACCTACCTGCTGACTGACCTCGGAGAGCCGCCTCGTTCTCCTCCAGTGCTGTACGTAGACAACAAGGCCATGCTGGCCTTGTGTCGAGACCAGAGACTTGAGCACAGAACAAAGCACATTGCTCTCCGCTACTTCCTTGCTCGTGAGCTACAGCAGCGTGGTCAGTTGCGGCTTGCGTACGTGGCCTCTGAGGCCAACACTGCTGATGTCTTCACCAAGGCACTTGCGCCTTGTGATCATCAGCGCTTCTGCACCCAGCTGGGTCTTGTACCTGTCTTGCCTCACTTGCTCACCTCTTGACCTTGCTTGTACTGTTACATATATATATACCTGCTCTTGCTTGTCTAGCCTTATATATCTATGTACTTCTGCATGTGAACTGGCCTTGTGGCCTTGTACTTGTGCTCGGAATGTGTGGTGACTTTGTGATCCACCCTGAGCTTTGCTTTGTTTTGCTTTGCTTGACTGGTCTTGTGACCCCCTGTTCTCCCCCACTTTGCCTATGGGGGTGTGTCAGAACATTATAGCTTATGCTTTTGTGTAGGCTGTAGTGGGGTATCCGATAGGGGGTACAACCCAATTAGGGTTAGTACTTGTACCCACTTCACTCATAGTTCATTCATTCTCGTTCTCTTTTTCTCAGAAACTACGGCCACGATTTTGTGGGCCGTTCAAGATTGTTAAGATGGTGACACCTGTCACCGCGAAGCTGTTGCTACCCGACGACTGGCGAATTCATGACGCCTTCCACGTCAGCCTTCTTCGCAAGTTCGTGCCAGCCACGACCGACATCGCCCGTCAGCAAGCTGCCCCGACAGAACGACCTGTTCCTGAGCCGACCCTTGCCCCTTCGAAAATCCTGGCTCATCAGGTCCGCCTTGACGCAGCTGGCCGACACGTGGATTTCTTAATCCGCTGGACTGACTGCACCGGTGAAGACGACACGTGGGTGCCATCCGCCTTGCTCGACGCCTCGCCACTTGTTGGTGATTACTTGGCGCGCAAGCGTGTTTCGGATATTGACCGCCGCGGGGGGGGGGGGGGGGGGGGGGGGGGGGGTGTAGTGTAAGGAATTTCCTGAATTCCTTATCGGGGTTGACTGCTTCGCGTACAACCCGATTTTCGGAGTTCGCACGTTCGGCCGATTTCAACGCTGCCGAGGCTCCTCGCCTCGCCTTCGGCATTTCCATCGCCAAACTTGCACCCAACCTCGTCTTCCGAGGTTTCCTCCTAGCTAGGCTAGCCCTACATTAGTCTGTGCATTCATTGTATTCTCAGTTCATTCAGTCACAGTCTCGTTATTCGTTTACCTGCGCACTCTCTTTTACAACTCATAACAGAATCTGAGCCCTAGCCCCTCGCGGACCGCAACTTCAACCGACCAATTGCCGCCACCACCTCAAACCCAGCACAGCGAGGTGTCGTGGCTTCGCGACAGTTTCCTGTCGGGAGTTGCGACCGAATTGCGGGTTACGGACAATTTCGTCATGAATGAATGCTGTTTCGCGACACCACTTCACCGCTTCCCGCACCGCATGTCGGCCAATGCTGACGCGCTTCCAGCCTCCAGCTCAAATATAAATGACAATTCGTGCCTCCAATCCTTCATCAAATTCATTCGTGCTCCCTCAACTTCACTCCCCTCACAATCATCCAATCCTTCATTCTCGTCTTGACAGTCCAACCCGACGCTTCCAGACTCGTTTTCCGCGGCTGCGTGACCACACCACTTAGCGACAGGCGTGCACATATCCACGAAATATGGCCAGTTCACGGTTCATTTCCCTCTTCGGCCTGCTCTGCATCGTGCTTTGCTTCGCCACTGCTCACGCACAGGCGAAGCCCACCAAGGCGCAAATCAAAGCCGAGCTGCAGAACATGGCGAACACCATCACCCAGAAGTTTCCCAAATACGCGAAATACGCCAAGGACATCAACAAGTACATCGGCCTGGCACGTAAGGTCTTTGATATTACATTATTTTCTTATTACCACGGCTAGTAAACTCGCTTCCTTCTCGTTCAAAACGCCAGCAGAAAGACCCTCATTTGTAGTCGTTAAAAATGCGGCAGGATACCCTCTTACTAGTGTTTAACACGCTCCTCTATTCGCTCGTCGCGCTCATATGCTGACCGTTTTTTTTCGTCTTCCCTCTCCCTCTCCCTCTGTTCCCCCACTTCCTCTCTTTCCATCACCAGTGAACTCCAAGTACGATTTCACAGCTCTCAGCGACGCGACCCTCCTACTCCCCAGCGACACGGAGGCCCAGGCCCTCGCTAAGAAGGTCCCCGCTAACAAGGCCAACATTCCTAAAATCTACAACATCACCGCGTACCACATCATCCGCAAGAAGTACACCGTTCCCGCGCTCAAGGTGCTCAAGAAATCGCAGCCGCTGGGAACGCAGCTGAAGCAGGCGATGTACAAGGTTTCGGTGCAGAATGGTAACACGATTTCTTTCGCCAAGACTCCCAACGCCCCACCTGCCGCGTGGACGACGATCAAGATCGTGAGGCTGTACGCTGGACCGTACTTCATTGCCCACGGCGTGGATAAAGTTCTGATTCCCACTTACACCAAGGTGTAATCCTTCAGGTCACCTGAACGTGGCTCGATCCTCAGTTGACAGTCAGTCGTGCTGCTGGTTCAACCTCTGAACTAGGGATGACTGGAGGTCAACTGGGCATTGCAGTAGGCTTTGTGGTGCAAGTTGTAAATATGCTACTGTGTCCTGAGCAATCAATTTTGTGCTGATCAAAGTTTAGTACGGCATCCACATTTTCAGGTTTGTTTCTTGAATCCTCTGTAAGGCTCGAATCGTTAGTGCACAAGGCTTCCGTTATTTTGTTACCAAGCTTGCTGCTGCCACTGCTCCAGCAGGGTTCAAGCTTAGAGAGAAACTGGATTAGCTGTTGCTGGACTGTTAGGACAATCTGAACCCACCAGCTTCTTTCTCTCAGCATAGGCCTTACAGACGAGTAATTACCTAAATTTGGGACGATAACAGGCGAGTACGCTTCCTAGAATGCTTTGCGACAGCGAGGGCGAGACGAGCAATCGGTCATGGCCGTCCTCCTCGCCCACATCGTACTCCAACTCGCCTGATGACACACACGAACCCATGCGCCTGTGCTGCCGCTGCTGACTCCGAACCTCCCCGTTTGGTTTGGTGGAAGCAGGCCGGGCCTGGGTGCTTCCGAACCCAGCCGTGAGACCCGAAACCATGGTGACAGGGGCGGTGGACGACCGTACGTAATGGTGTAGAGGCCTCACATGGCCCTGGGGGTTATTAAATTGGGGGGGTCAATGAAGCATGGCCAGGAAAATATGTTTGAGGAAAGTAGGGTGATAGAACATGCTGGGTGGGGATGGCCTTTCGCTACACATTCTATGATTCACCAACACACATGCGTCATCGTGCTGGCTGGCTTTACATGGCCTGCAACACACACCCAGCAAACTGCACTGCAGGTTGACATTGCACGTGTGCTGAAAGGGGTGCGCTGATCATGCCGCCTGCACCAACCACACACGTCATGCCTGCCCATTCATCACCCACCGCCCCCGCCCCTTCCCACACCAGTTAGCCTCCACTCACCAGCATGCACCAATCAGCACCCATGAATCCCTTGCAACATGCACCCACCCCTCAGCAGCCATGTGCACCGCACCTGCAGCTGATCGGTGTGCAGCTGGTCCAGCAGGGGGCGGGTGGTGTCCAGCAGGACCATGCGTGTGTGCTCTGATACCACTGACGCTCCCACACTCATCGCACATGCCTGTGAGCGTGGCATGGCATGCAGGGTAACAAGGAAGACATGGGCATGGGCATGGGCATGGGCATGGGCATGGGCATGGGCATGGGCATGGGCATGGGCATGGGCATGGGCATGGTCATGGGCATGGGCATGGGCATGGGCATGGGCATGGGCATGGGCATGGGCATGGGCATGGGCATGGGCACGACAGTACCGCCTGCTGCAGCTCTGGGTCGCCATGCAGCCATGCATCGGCTGTGAGGATGGCCACACAGAACAAAACAGCACCGCACAGAACCGCACAGCATCGTACAGCACCGCACATGCACGACACGTACCGCCTGGTGCAGGTGTGGGTCGCCATGAAGCCATGCATCGGCTGTGAGGATGGCCACCCGCTCCCCCGCCCCCACCTGGTGCCATGTGCCCATGGTGACAGCGGTGCAGCGGGGTGCAAAAGGGTGCGGAGGGGTGCAGAGAGATGAGGAGGCGGAGAAAGGTTGGCAGTGGAGGGAGATGGATGAGAGTTGCAGGAGTGAAGGCTCAATATCTAGATGAACACAGAGCATCATGAGAAGCGCGCGATGGCAGAGCGCGGAGTGGGCGGGGGTGGAGAGAGGAGAGGGCGGGGGCATACAGAGGAGAGGGGCAGGTTGCCGGCGTCAGAGAGGGCAGCTCTGAACTTCCACGGAGCTCCACTGGCCAGCACGCCCCTCAACTCCACGTGCAAAGGCAGGCCCCCCCCCACCCTCCGCTCCGCTTGCTGCCGGCCCCTCGTCGCCCATTCGGCCGCTCACCACGACCGGCCCCGATGCATAGAGGTCCGGGATGGGGTAGGGGTAGAGCTGGTGCGGGTGCGCAGGGGATGGGTATCGTGGGCGGCATTTTTGAGTTGACCCGAAGTCACTTGGTCGCCCATTTGGCCGCTCACCACGACTGGACTGGATGCATAGAGGTCCGGGATGGGGTAAGGGTAGAGCTGGTGCGGGTGGAGAGTGGATGGGTGTGGTGTGTGGCACAGGGGGGTCACGTGGGGGTGAGTCGGGGGGAACCACGCGAGAGCAGCCGATGGCTGTCGGAATAATTGAGGTACTTCCAAATGAGGTGCCGATGGTTGGGAGGTACTGATCAAATGAGGTCGGTTGGGAGACTTCCAACTGGCGGGGTGGAAAGTTGAGGAACAGGGTTGGGATATTACGTGTAACACCCAACTCGGCCCACGAGGGTTCACCCAAACTACACCACACTCTCTGGCACGCATGTGTGAGACGAATTGTGAGACGTCTCAAGAATTCTTCCCAGCACGTTGCTATCTCAGCACCCACCTCGCTCCTCGCCCCACCTCGCCTTTGGCCTGACCTCACAGGCGGGCGGCAGGTCGCGGATGGCAATGTTGGTGACGAGCGGGTGGGCCATTGTCTGCAGCATTCCATCCAGCCGCCGCCGCACCTCCGCTGGGGGGAGAACGGGGCCGCGGGTGGGGGATGGGAAATGGAGGGTCGGGATGGGGAGTGGGAGTGGAAATGGGTATGAAGGATGCGCATGGCCTGCAGCATTCCGTCCAGCCGCCGCCGCACCTCCGCTTGGGGGAGGATGGGGGTTGGGAATGGAGGATGGAGGGTGGAGTTGGTGAGTGGGGATGAGGTTTAGGGATGGGTGTGGGAGTGGATACGAATATGGGCCAAGTGTGCATAGTGACGGAGGGTGATAGGAGGAAGGGATGAGAAGGGGAGCGGGAAGATGGGTGGAAGAAGGTGGCAGCGTGACTGTGCAATTGCTAATGGAGAATGACTGCCCTGCTGCAGCTAGATGAACGAAGCAGGTTGAGAAGGTGAGAACCCGGTGGCACCTGGATTGCGGGTGACCTGTGAGGAGCCGCGGGTGGCAGCAGCAAGCCACTTGAGAAAGAACGGATTCACCGATGAGCCTGATGATGGGGGCATCGCATTGGGGGGAATTGGGTGGGGGCAATAGGATGATGGAAGTGGGATGAGTGTAAGATGGAGGGAATGAGGGGGCAGTGAGATGGGGGAATGGAATGGATGCAGTGCAGGTAAGGGCACGCGGCCGAATGGAGCAGGCTCCCGACAATTTCCACTCGTCCACGTGTCAGACGAGTGGAGCCTTTACATGCCAAGCCGGTGACTTTGCCGGCGCTTTGCTCGTAGGCAAGGCGCCAGATCCCCTAAATGCTCATGCTCCGTCATGGAGCACCAGATCCTTGCAAATATAGCAGCCGGAACGCCACATTCGCGCCGGCTAGTAGCAGACGGCGGACCAGTCCAGCCCGTCTCAAGCAGCCCCCACCTTTTCGCCCAGCTTGCTAGTCAGGACGAGGCAGACGAGCCATGATCACCATTGGTAGGTTGCTTGGTGCTCCCAGGCTTGTCTCATCCAACTCGACTTTTGAGGCGCCTCAAAAGCCAGGCTTGTCTCATCCAACTCGGCTAGGCCCCTTGCTGGTGCCAATGGCACATACATGCCAATGACCAGAGATGAAGATGCGAGGGGCAGTGCCCCCCCAGTTGGCTTTTGAGTCGACTCATGCGCGCTACGCACGCTCAGCAGCGAGTAGAGCAATTCAATACTCGTACCGATGCCGAAGGTGAAGATGCGAGGGGCGGTGTCCCCCCAGTCATACAGCCGACTCACTACTCATACTGATGGCAAAGGTAAAGGTGCGAGAGGCGGCACTCCCTTAGTCGAGATGAGTTTTGAGTCGACTCAGAGGTCGCTTTATAGTCATATAGCCAACCCAATCTTCATACCAATGCCAAAGGTGGAGATGCGAGGGGCGGTGCCCCCCCAGTCCGCCAGGGCGCGCTGCACCCAGTGGCACACGCGGCGCTCCGCCCGCACCGGGCCGTCCGTGATGAGCACGATCTGCTGCAGCGCTGCCGTGTGGCCCCTCAGCATCCTGAACGCCTGGTGGCGATGGGGCACACATGCGCAGGGTGGGAGATGGAGTGTGACATGGGGTATGGAATGGATTATGGATGGGGTATGCGATGGGGAATGGATGGGATGTGGATGGGGTGTGGATGGGATGCAGGAGCAGAGTATGAGGCCAGAGAGGGATTATGAGACGGGGACAGCTGAGTGGGCCTTAGCGTCTGAGTGTCAGGATGGGCAGCCATGTTATGCCTTCCAGGATGGGCAGCCATGTTATGCCTTCCAGGATGGGCAGCCATGTTATGCCTTCCAGGATGGGCAGCCATGTTATGCCTTCCAGGATGGGCAGCCATGTTATGCCTTCCAGGATGGGCAGCCATGTTATGCCTTCCAGGATGGGCAGCCATGTTATGCCTTCCAGGATGGGCAGCCATGTTATGCCTTCCAGGATGGGCAGCCATGTTATGCCTTCCAGGATGGGCAGCCATGTTATGCCTTCCAGGATGGGCAGCCATGTTATGCCTTCCAGGATGGGCAGCCATGTTATGCCTTCCAGGATGGGCAGCCATGTTATGCCTTCCAGGATGGGCAGCCATGTTATGCCTTCCAGGATGGGCAGCCATGTTATGCCTTCCAGGATGGGCAGCCATGTTATGCCTTCCAGGATGGGCAGCCATGTTATGCCTTCCAGGATGGGCAGCCATGTTATGCCTTCCAGGATGGGCAGCCATGTTATGCCTTCCAGGATGGGCAGCCATGTTATGCCTTCCAGGAATGAGGGAAAGCCACGTGTGCAGAATAAATGAACCTGAAAATGGCTCTTACTCACCCCCCCTCATCCCTCCCAATCCACGCTCACCGCTCTCCACCCACCAGCTGCAGCGGCGTGAGCACATTAACCGGCTGCGGCCAGTCATGTGCCTGCAGCACGAACTTGCACGCGCGGCGAACCGCCTCAGGCGAGGCGGCCTCGAGCTCGTCGTCCAGCAGCAGCAGCTCAAAGTCAAACGCTATCACTGCAAACGAGTCGTGCGGCTTTAAGCGTTTTAGTGCTCCCGCTACTGCCCTGCGCGCGTCTTCCATTGGGCGACCCCTCAGTCCGCACTCACTGTCGAGAATGAACACCACTGCCCGGCTGAAGACCTGGCAAGGGGTGGAGAGGGGTGGAGTGGGGTGGAGTGGTTGGTGGGGGTGGGAGGGGCGACTGAGGAAGGGAGGGTTGCAATGGAAAGAGGCGAGGCAGCCTCAAGGTCAGGTCATCCAGCAGCAGCAGCTTCAAGCGCCTCAGTGCCCCTGCCACCACTCTTCCACCTCCTCATCGTCCAGCAGCAGCAGCAGCTCAAAGTCAAACGCCACCACCGCAAACGAGTCGTGCGGCTTTAAGCGCCTCAGCGCCACTGCCACCGCCCTGCGTGCATCCTCCATGGGGCGGCCTCTTAGACCGCACTCGCTGTCGAGTATGAACACGACGGCTCGGCTGAACACCTGTGGGTGGAGAGGGTTGGAGAGGGGTGGAGGGGGATGGAGAGGGGTGGAGGGGGTGGGAAGGATGACCAGGTAAGGGAGGGCTCCAGAGGAAAGAGGCGAGGCGGCTTCGAGCTCATCGTCCAGCAGCAGCAGCTCAAAGTCAAACGCCACCACGGCGAACGAGTCGTGGGGCTTTAAGCGCCGCGGCGAGCCCGCCACTGCCCTGCGTGCAACCTCCATTGGCCGGCCCCTTAAAGCCGGCGGCCCAAATTGCACAAGCTTTTAAAAGTTGACGCGTGGGGTTTTTCTGGTCTGGGTTTAGGCGAGTGACTCCCGATTTCGCTTTTTCGTTAATTTCGCCAAACCCAGCACTCCCTCATATTTCGCCCCGGGGGTTGGGTCTGTCCCTGAAAGTCCTAAATTGCAAGTGCGATACTTTTCAAAGATTGCACACTGCACTTCGTCAAGTTTTAAAAGCTTGACGCGCGCGGCCCGCAATTTGGGCCGCGGGCTTTAACTCGCATTCGCTATCGAGGATGAAGACGACTGCCCGGCTGCTGTGGTTAGGGAGCAGTGGCGAGGGGTGGAGGGGGATGGAAGGGAGGGTTATGATGGGAGGAGGTGGTACGGCCTTGAGCTCATCGCCCAGCAGCAGCAGCTTCAGGCGCCTCAGTGCCGTTGCCACCGCCCTGCGTGCCTCCTCCATGAGGCGACCCCTCAGCCGTGTCTCGCTGTCCAGGATGCACACCACTGCCCGGGTGACCACCACTGCCCGGGTGACCACCACTGCCCGGGTGACCACCACTGCCCGGGTGACCACCACTGCCCGGGTGACCACCACTGCCCGGGTGAACACCACTGCCCGGGTGAACACCACTGCCCGGGTGAACACCACTGCCCGGGTGAACACCACTGCCCGGGTGAACACCACTGCCCGGGTGACCTGCCCGGAAGCAGAAGCGGTTGGCAATGGAATGCAAGAAGGCGAGGCGAGGAAGAAACACGAGCAGGAGAGGGTTGAGGGCATACTGAGAACTGGGCGGGATCGGGAGGAGCTATTGAAAGGTCGAAGGAGGCTCGAGGGTCCGGGTCTCCGATGAGAGGCGCTTGCACAAGCACTGCTGCACTCACGTCCTCTGTCACCACCTGCTGGCACATGCGGTGTCATGCCATGCCATCATGCCATGCCATCATGTTATCCCATCACACCATGCCATCATGCCATGCCATGCCATGCCATGCCATCATTCTCAGAAGTTAAGCTTAGAAGCGATAGATTAGTAATGAGCTTGAAGCTCTTTAAGTACATCCTAGAAGGGTAAGGAATAGTTGGGAAAGGGAATCAGGGGCAATCCCTAGGGATTGGGGGTAATCCCAAGGCAATCTCCAATTGGTGGGTTGGAGATTGCTTGGAGATTACATTTGGGTTTGGTTGGGATGTAGGTGTACGCCCAACCAAACACAATGTGCACACTACACTACGCTAGGATATAGAAAATACAAAGTACAAAGTGTGAGATTGAAGGCTAACACTAACAATCATGTCATGCCACCATGACACGCCATGAAAACATGCCACGCCATCACATCATGCCATGCCATCACATTATGCCATGCCATCACATTATGCCATGACGCCATGCCATCACGCCATTGTAACCACCACAAGTCATCACCATGGCACCATGCAATGCAAGTGCCCTATCATGAGAAGCATGGACCATGACAAAATGCCATCAACCAGCCAAGCCATCATGCCACCATACAATGCTGTCGTCATCATGTGAGCAAGCGACTATGCCATAGTGACATGTAATGCCACATGCCATCATGCCGTCATGCCATCATGCCATTGTCAAATCATGCCACCGCACTGCACAGCAACAAATATCTTGCTTCTAAAACACCACCACACTACAATGCGTCACTAGCGTAAAAGCAATCATTCTTAAAGCCACAAAAACCAGCCTTATACAGGCTGGTCGGGACACCACATCCAAACAAACAAGTTGCTGACCCTCTTCCCCACTCAATGCTGATGGCAGCAGAAATCCAAGGCAACACAGTTACTCAGGCAGGGCAGACACCGACAGGAGCCCACAGTGGTGCCCACCTGGAAGGAGATGGTGAAGTCGGCGTTGGGCCAGGCGTCGGGGTCGTCATCGCTTTGATGGCCCACAAACGTGGCTCGCCCCAAGTCCACAAACACCACCTGCAGCATGCGTGTGTAGGACGAAAGAGGTGGGGGAAAAGGAGGATGATAGGGGTTGTGTAATGTAGAAAGGCTAAGGTAGGATCGCTTGGTTTGGTAAAGGAGGTCAAGACTCTTTAAGTACATTTCAACTGAGACAAGAACAATGGGAGGAAAATCCAAGGCGCAGCTCATGCGCACCACGTCCTGCACTGCCAGGTCGCCAGGCACGCAGCACTGGCCATGAATGATTGCCCTCACACACTCACACCCACTCCTCACTCACCTTCATGGGGTGGTTGAAATCCCCAATCTTCATGGGGCACTGCAGCCCGCTGTTAATCGTGCAGCTCACGCGCACCACGTACTGCACTGCCAGGTCGCGCGGCAGGCAAGCACAGGGCATGAATGATAGCCCTCACACACACCCCATGCCGTGCCCCACTCACCTTCATGGGGTGGTTAAAGTCCCCGATCTTCATGGGGCACTGCAGCCCGCTGTTGATGGTACAGCTCACTCGCACCACATCCTGCACTGCCAGGTCGCCAGGCACGCACTCCAAGGGCACTGTCAGCGGCACGCTCATCTCACTGTACCCCTGCCGCCCTGCCATCACCTCCACGTAGGTCACCCGTACGCGCACACTGCTGCCTTGTGGTACCTGCGTGGGGGAGGAGTATTCAGAGGAGGGATAAACCATACAAAACGCTTGCTTACAATTGAGAATTCCCAAACATCCCTGAACCCATGAGGTGCGCTCCAACCATCGCCTGCATGCATGTATGTCGCCTCGCCCACTTGCGCACACTGGTGCATTGGGGTATCTGCGGGGGAGGAGTGGAGGGGGGGATGGAGAAGGTGCGTGCATGGTTGAACACCGTGGGACGGGAGGCATGGGAAATGGAGGGAGACTGGGAACGAAGATAGGGGGGTAACGGAGGTAGAGAAGGGGACGAAGGGGGCAGAACGGCAAGGATCTAATGATCAATGAAGTCGACTCAAAAGTCACCTAGTTTTGTTTTGTGCGCACCTTGGGTATTCTGAGCCGTAGCATGTGGGGCGTGTGCACAGGACTCTCATCCAGCAGCACGGCTGCATGCCGCCTCGCCACACACCGCTGCCGCTGCCCTGCACTCTCCTCCACCTCCTCCTCCTCCTCATCCTCATCACCATTCCCTCCCCTTCTCCTCCCATTCTCACCACCCTCACCACTTTCACCCCCACCCTCCCCTCTCTCCATACCCCCACTCACACCACCCTCCTTCCCACTGCTCTTTCCCCACTCGCCCTCTCTACTCGCTTCAGCCCTCTCATCCCCATCTTCCACTCCCTCTTGGCTTTTCCACCGATGCCTGCTGCTGCCGCTCCTGCTGAAGCTAGCAGACGACAGGCGCAGGAACGAGGGCCGGGCGGGCCTGGGCAGCACGGGCTGGGCGGCGGAGTGGGCGGCTGCCGCCCGCTCTTGGCTCGCCCGGCACGCTGCCTCTGCCTCGTCCGCTGGGAGCACTGCAGTTGCGAGGAACCTTCCATCTGCTAGCGTTACCTCGACTGCAGTCACAGAGGCCTGGGGAGTTCAAGGGGAATGAGGGTCGGATGGGCCAACGGGGAAAGGATGGGCATGGGAACCTTGGGGAAACGGGAGAGTGGACGTGGGAGCAAGGAGCGGTAAGGGCCGAGGAGGAAGGGCATGAATAATTGACTTGAAAAGGGGATAGCGGAATGGAGTCGTGTGGGAATGGAGAGAGGGAGACGGAAGGGGATAGCTGTGGGGTGAAGGGATGAAGGCAATGGTGGGGAGGATAGAGAGCAGGGGCAAGAAAGGCAGGTGATGATCTGTACTGAGGTTTCAGTGAGTGGAGGAACGAACGATGAGTGCTCAGCAGCACCACACCCTCTCACTCACGCCCCTACGCCTCACACTCAATCGTGCTTGGCAACACACACTCTCGCAACGCCCCTACCCTGTAAGACGTGGGCAGCACAAACAGGCAGTCGCAGCACTGCTGCCGCTGCTGCTCCTCCCCTTTGCCCCCACCATCCCCCCCACCATCTCCCCCACCATTTCCTCCCGCATCCCCTCCGCCCCCCCCTCCGCCCCCTTGCCCGCGTCCCCCCACATACTCCCCCACTTCCCACGTGCCCTGTATGCTGACACTTGCTGTCGTCATCAGGCACTCCACAGTGAGCGACAGTGACGTCATCATGGCGGGCACTAACCGCGGAGCCGCAGCTCCTCCCCCCGCGTCCGCTGCTCTTCCCCCCTCCCCCCCGCCTTCCGCGCCCGCCCCTACGTCCCACGATTTCGCCCGCGCGTGCGCTCCCTTCCGCTCATGCGCCGCCCCGTCAACCGCAGCGGCGCCGCGCGAGTTGCGCGCGCTGTTTGCGGGAGAAGAGTCGCGCGCATGGGCGGAGGGAAGCGGGGGAAGCGGGTCGGAGGCGGGGGGAAGCACGGCGTAAAGCATGGGGCACGGCGGAACTGCGGAGAAGAGCGGGTCGTCGCGCGCAGTGGCGCGGGCGGATTCGGGACGGGGGAGATCGGAGGCGGAGGCGGAGGGGGGAAAGGCGGGGGAGGCGGAAGAGGTGGAGGCGGAGGAGGGGAAGCCGGAGGATCGCGACGACCGCCCCGCCATTGTCGACTAACCAGCGGCGCGGATTAACTCTTAAAAGAAGGGCATAAAGGATTGGAACTACGGAGCCTGACTGGATTCAATAGCTCAAACTTATGAGCTTACGCTGCCTGGCTAGAACCATCTGCTCAAAGGGAAGGCGCTGCGGTGCGTGACTGATGGCGAATGCTGCCTACCCGCGGGCGCGGGGAAAGCAACGAACTTGCGACCGTGGGTGGGACGGAAACACAGCAATGCGATAAAAGGGACGAGGCAGAGACGGTCGAAGGCATTGGAAAGGCGGCAATTGCGGCAGGCTCACGATGAACGATCGACGTTGAATGGACTCCAGCGCGAGTTGTAACGCCTGTGGGCTAGTGTTGATGGGTGTAAGGAATTTTGCTAATTCCTTACTGAGGCACCGCTTACGCGTACATTTCCAACTTTCGGAGTTCAGGCTCCGTCCGACGACCGCGCCTCCCGAACGTCCTCCGCGTCGCCTTCGGGTTTTCCAAACCCAAACCTACACCCAACCCTCGCACGACTCTGCGACCTCGGCTTAGCTAGCTTTGCTATATTATGCCTAGGCCCCGCTGTTTACTCAGGAATTGGAATCACTTCCGCGATATTGGATTCTGCGCACTCTTCTTTCATACAACTCATAACACCTGGTATCAGAGCTACTTTCCTAGGTTACCCTCCACTTTCCGGGGTAGTTTAGTACAGGGGTGCGATAGGTTTGGTGGGCTGCAAAGCGGTCGGCTGAGAGATAGATACGATTATCTCGCTCCGACTAATAGCGTTTGCGCCTTCATCAAAACCAGAAAAATCACTGTTAACCCCCTGCCCGTTAGACGAAGCCTGCGACACATGGACCAGGCGGAGTTAAACGAGCTCATGCAACAGTTTCGGGCGCTGCAGGCCAACATGCAGACTATGTCTGGCGAGTTGGAGTGCCTGAGGGAGGAAAACGCCGAACTACGCCAGACGCGAGGTGAAGCGCGTCAGGAGTCGCCCGCCGTGGATGAAGCAGGAAGCAGTTTCGTGCCTAACGACGAGGTCCTCAGCGAGCTACAGAACTCGCTGGACGCTGAAGACGAGCGGACAGCGCGAACGCAACGAGCACAGGGGACGCAGGAACAACAGTCACAGCCGAGGCAACAGTCGCAGACGACGCCACGACAGGCAACAGCGACAACCCCGGTGATGGCTTCAATGGCGCCCCCGATGCATGCAGCAGCAACAGTCTCAACAACTGTTAAAATAAAACCGACGAACCCGCCCCCGTTCAACCCCAGCGACAAAGCCGTCACTGTGTCAGCTTGGTTGTTCGGTGTAGAGGTGTTTTTCAATGCTGCGCAAATTGCTGACGATGCTACCCGCATTAATTTTGCAGTGTCACTATTGCGAGGACCGGCGTTGGAATGGTGGAAGCGGACTCTTCAGCCAGAGGGGGCTCCGGCAGGGATATCACGTGCGAACGACGGGACCTGGGCAGCTGTCATGCAACAGGCAACTTCAATCTTCGGAGTGGCCACGATACGCACATGGACGGAGTGGGGCGCCGCGCTGCGAAGCAGATTCGAGCATGTATCCGCCTTGGATTCTGCTCGCATGAAGCTGCGTACCTGGAAGCAGGTGGCGTCGGTCCAAGATTACACGGCGACATTTTGCAATTTGGCTGACCAAGTGGACGACATGAGCGACGCGGAACGACTCGACCGATACGTCGCCGGCCTCAAGTACGACGTACAGTACGAGGTGCGACGGGCGAGGCCACGCGTGTTTCTCGAAGCCGTCCAGGTGGCTGAATCGACGGATGCGCTGATGCAATGGGCGAGAATGAGTTCCCGGGAGGGCACTCAATTTCGCGGACCGCCGCGCCAGCCCACAATCAACGGGGTGGATGCACCGAGGCGGGGAAACAACAACTGCTTCAACTGCAACCAACCGGGCCACTGGAAGAAGGACTGCCCGAAGCTGAAACAGGGAAACAGGAACAACGGAGAGGGGTCGGGATAAGAGACGAGTCAGTAGCAGTCGGGCCACCTACTGACGAGACCCCGTCGCCCGGCAATCAACATCCACACCGAGTGTGAAAGTAATTAGGAAGAGTTAGGCTTAGGAGCCTTGGTGATTGAGTTCGAGTAAGTTTAGGTAAGTCGAGAAAGTTGAAAAGAGAAGTGAGGGGTTTCACTATAGAGCGAGGAGTACAAATAGGCAAGAAGGAAAGGTGCACCACCAAACAGAACATCATATAACTACAGTAGTCTACACTACAGGCAGTTACAAAACAATATATAGAAATATATATTATTCTTGACACGCCCCCATAAGTGCCTGTAGGGAAGAATGTGCAGTCAACGCCCCCATAATGGGGTACACCAAGCAGAGTGAAGTTGAAGTAGCAGCAGTAGGCAACCAGTGCAGAAAACAGAGAACAGAAGGGAGAGAGGAGAGAGAGAGGAGAGGAGGTGGTAGGCTCTGGTTGGTCACCCCCTACATCCCCTCAACCTCCCCCTCCCCCTCCCCATCCCCCTCACACTGCTGCAGGAGCAGCAGAGGGGGGGGGGGGGGGAAGCAAACGGAGGAGAATGGGGCCGTAGGGCTAGGGGAACAGACATTACCCATCACCCCCACACCCACCACCCCCAGTCCCTCCCCGGGCTCCCCCACACTCTCACACCCTCCCCCCCAGCGGCAGCTGCAGCAGAGGGAACAAAAGGAGGAGGAGAAGAAGGGGGAGAGGGAGGGGGGGGGGGCCGACGCACGGCCTCCCCGGGCGCCAAAGCAGGCGGCAGAGGGGGCGACGCCTGCCCCCCCCTTCCAGGTCGCCCCTCCCGTCACCTGTCGAGGCGACCTGAGGGGGCCGCGTGCGGCCCCCGAAGGAGCCGCGACGGGTGACGGGAAAAGGGGGGGGGGCGGTGCACGTGCCCCCGGTGTGCCGCGGCTGACGACAGGGCATGGCCGGGGCGGGGTCGGGGCCGCAAGAGGGCGGGGCCGCAGGTGGCATCGGTGCCTAGGGTGGGTACCGCACGGGCGGAGACGGGCCGGGACGGGCGGAACGTGACGCCGCGAAGGGCGGCGACGGGCTGGTACGGGCGGCGACGGGCCGGGACGGGCGGCGACGGGGCCGCAGGAGTAGGGCGGCGAGGCCGCAGTGTAGGGCGGCGGGGCCGCGACAGCAGAGAGGCGGCGAGGCCGCGACAGTAGGGCGGCGGGGCCGCTTAAGAAGGTGCGGGGCCGCGAGCGGGTGGCGGGGCCGCGAATGAAAGGGCACACCACGGGGCGTGCAGTACACTCAGTAGCAGCGGAAGCACAAGGCCAGGATCGTAACTCTCTCTGATAGCATGTGAAAGTAATTAGGAAGAGTTAGGCTTAGGAGCCTTGGTGATTGAGTTCGAGTAAGTTTAGGTAAGTCGAGAAAGTTGAAAAGAGAAGTGAGGGGTTTCACTATAGAGCGAGGAGTACAAATAGGCAAGAAGGAAAGGTGCACCACCAAACAGAACATCATATAACTACAGTAGTCTACACTACAGGCAGTTACAAAACAATATATAGAAATATATATTATTCTTGACACCGAGTAGTGGTACCGATACGGGCTATCGACCGCAACCGGACGAATAAGGTGGATGAACACGTGGATCACCCTGTGCTGGTCGTGGGGAGGGTTAACGGGCATAAAATAAAATTATTCGTTGACGGTGGGGCGAGCCACAGTCTCGTCAACCTTGCAACGGCCAAAAAAATTGGAGTCAAGCTGGACAGGTGTGTCAAAATAACTAGCAAGCTTTGGGCTTAGGAGCCATAGCTAGTTAGGAACGAGAGTTGAGCTCGAGTGAGTTTAGGTAAGTCGAGAAAGTTGAAAAGAGAAGTGAGGGTTTTCACTATAGAGCGAGCAGTACATATAGGCAAAATGAAAGGTGCACCACCAAAACAGAACATTATATAACTACACTAGTCTACACTACAGGCAGTTACAAAAACAATATATAGAAATATATATTATTCTTGACACGCCCCCATAAGTGCCTGTAGGGAAGAATATGCAGTCAACGCCCCCATAATGGGGTACACCAAGCAGGAGCAGTGACAACCAATGCAGAAAACAGAGAACAGAAGGGAGAGAGGAGAGAGAGAGGAGAGGAGGTGATAGGCTCTGGTTGATCACCCCCTACATCCCCTCAACCTCCCCCTCCCCCTCCCCATCCCCCTCACACTGCTGTAGGAGCAGCAGAGGGGGGGGGGGGGGGGGGGGGGGCAAACGGAGGAGAATGGGGCCGTAGGGCTAGGGGAACAGACATCACCCATCACCCCCACACCCGCCACCCCCAGTCCCTCCTCAGGCTCCCCCACACTCTCACACCCTCCCCCCCAGCGGCAGCTGCAGCAGAGGGAAAAAAAAAAGGAGGAGGAGAAGAGGGGGGGGGAGGGAGGTGGGGGGCCGATGCACGGCCTCCCCGGGCGCCAAAGCAGGCGGCAGAGGGGGCGACGGCTGCCCCCCCCTTCCAGGTCGCCCCTCCCGTCACCTGTCGAGGCGACCTGAGGGGGCCGCGTGCGGCCCCCGAAGGAGCCGCGACGGGTGACGGGAAAAGGGGGGGGGGGCGGTGCACGTGCCCCCGGTGTGCCGCGGCTGGCGACAGGGCATGGCCGGGGCGGGGTCGGGGCCGCAAGAGAGCAGGGCCGCAGGTGGCATCGGTGCCTGGGGCGGGTACCGCACGGGCGGCGACGGGCCGGGACGGGCGGCACGTGACGCCGCGAAGGGCGGCGACGGGCTGGTACGGGCGGCGACGGGCCGGGACGGGCGGCGACGGGGCCGCAGGAGTAGGGCGGCGAGGCCGCAGTGTAGGGCG